AGCGCCGGGCGGCTGAGTGCCATGCTGCCCGCGCCGCCGCCTGCGCCCCATCGCCGCCTCCGACCTAGTCCTGAGTGGGGAGGCGGGGCCGCGGCGCCCCCTCCGCCTGCCCCCCGCCGCCAGCCCGCGGGGGAGGAGGAGGAGCGAGGGATGCCCACCAAGTGCCTGCTCCCCTGCGCCGGGGGCTCCCTCAGGCTCAGCCCCTCTGCCTGCCCCAGCTCCTTCGCTCCCCCCCAGGGTGTGAATTGAGAGGGCTGAGCCCCCCCGTAAGGAACGAGAGCCCCCCTGTAAGATGTAAAAGACATAACCTGAGGGGTCTCCGGATTGCTCCTTCACCGAGGTGCGCTTGTTAATCAATGAACCCCATTTATTTATTTATTTTTGCAGACAACCCCCCAAGAGTCAAAGTGTAATTTGAGCACTGCTCCCCTCACAGCCTGGCCTCTCCCGTCAGCACCGGACCTAGACAGCCCGCAAACTTTTAGTATCAGCCCGCCTTTGCCAGGGGTAATGATGGGAACTGGTCTCTCAGCCTCTTTTTTCTGTCCCAAACCAGCACCCCTCTTTCCCTCCTCCCCTGACTATTCCCCCTCTCCTGCCTTTGGCCTCTTTTGCCACCACCACAAAAGAGCCTGTTCACCAACTCACAATAAAACTTCTTGGGGGTGGAGGGAAATGGGCAGATTCAAAGAAAAGGAAACACCCAGGAGTCGGGATGAAGGAGGGAGGAGGGCAGAGAGCTTCCCCAGTGGAGCTGGAGACAACAAAGAGGGATGGAAACAAATGGAGAGATGTCTTCCAAGTCTTTCCCCCAGCCCCATGTGCTTTGAATAGTAATCCTCCCACTCCCCTCGTGTGCGTGTGTCACAGACGAGCCTACGAACTTCACTTCATAAATCTACTGGATCTAAAAACCATGGACTAAATATAGACAGTGGATTGATGGCACATTATAACCTGCCTAACATCTGATAACCCCAGACCTGCATTTTGCATATCGGCTTCTATTCTACCCAGCAGAGCATACAAAACACCACCAGACTCTCCCCATGCCTGAAGAAGGGTGTTTGTGCCCGAAAGCTTGCAAAGGACAATTTTTCCAGCTATTTAGTTGGTTTCATAAAAGATATCACATCTACCCAAAGAACCTTGTCTGCCTATGTGTAAGTAATCCCTGATTTCTTCCTTCTGTCACAATAGCCATCAGTTTGCATGTTTGTCTCTCTCCTTTTTTTTT